CAATTTTTTTTGAAAAACCAGTTAGCAGTAAATTTTTTAATCATATTTATCCAAAACAGAAAAAAGTTTCATCTGTTATTTTACTCGATTCATTTGATTTCTTCTTTTTTTTTTGCCCATTTTCCACAAATATCACACAGACACAAAGCCAAACAGATACAAATAGCAACAACACAGACAAACGCACACACACCCATCTAAGTTTTACAGATTTTGTGCTAAAGAATATTCTAAGGTATAAACAGATAACGAAGCAATAATCTTGGAAACTTTCAAAAAAAACAACTAAGAAACAAAAAAAAAATTTGCACTAGAATAGAAATTTTAGTAAAAAAAAACTCCTAAATAACATTAATACTAATAATAATACTAAACTACTCGGCTTAATGTATTGTATAAATCTTCTAGACATTCTAATACCAACATAGAATGAGCTAAAAAACTTTGACGTAACACGTAAAACCATAATGAATGCAACATTTGTGGCACCAACAACAATTATGTACAGAATCAAAGAACAAAAAATAGGCAACTGAAAGTTTCAATGATTTAACAGATTGACTAAAAATTTGTCAAGCAAATGAATTACTCAATAAACAGTAAAAAGTATTTACTTCCTTATGAACAATTTCTTCATCATTCCTATACATTATTATGACACATAGAAATTCAAAATTTTTTGTAACCTTTGTCGCAGTCTTAGTCTTCGTCTATTTTTCATATTTAAATATCTGTTTATACTAATTCTTTTATTCAAAAGTATTCCATTTTTTTTCTGCAGATATTTTGTAACATTACACTTCTGAAGCCTTCTAAAAAGCGTTAAAAAAAAAGCATAAAATGAGAAAGCTAATTTCTTGAGCAAAAGATGTCTAGGAAAAGTATGTGTAAGTTTGCAGTATACCTTAGGTGTTGCACTGTGACAGCAGTAATTTAGCTTTTTTGTATCATATGTCAATTTTAAATAAGATTCAATTTAGCCGAGAAAAAAAAAAAAAAAACTTTTTGAACTGTTTAAAAACATTTTTTACGTCAACAAATCTGAGGTACAAACAGAGTGGCAATTGGAAATCGTAAGTAACGATCAGTACAGTGCTTTTTTTTCTCTTTCCTTTTTACTTATGAAAAAAAGCTCTTTTTTTTTTTGTCACTAAATACCACATTTTGATTCCCCTAT